CCGTGCTGGCAGGCAGGTGACCGCAGTAACCGGAAGCAGGGAGTTCAAGTCTAGTAGCATATAAATTCTCTTCAAGCAACAGAATCATTTCAGTCATTCTGAGTATGTGGCGAGTGAGCTTTAATTACAACTTCCGAATACCTTCGACTCAAAAGCGAACATATTTAAGACTCTACAGCATACCGAGGTCAAAAATAAGACGACAGACTACATAAAAGGACTGTGCGGATTCTGTCCCAACGAATGAAATCATGGCGTCGTCCATCACCCTTCAGCTCCACTTAATGATCTTTAACAGCGTACGCTTCCGTACAGAAAACGATGCTAACGCTGATTAATTTTATAGGAACCTGCCTATAGGATGTTCGATCTCGAAGATGAGAATCATCAAAAAATGACAGCCTCAAGTTGCATCCCTAGAGGATGGGTAGTTGTTCGGTGAAACTGGTCACGCCTCAATAGTGCGCCTTCTCGACATGACGTATGTGCGCAGGATAAAATCGTAACTGCAAGGAGGTCAGATCATGTTCCCCTGCGAGTCGATCTGAAGGCGAACGCTGAATTAATATGTAATCGGGCGCGCTAGAGGAGGTAAATTTTGCGCATTTGACGAACCTCGTTGAGCGGGTTGAAACCAAACCTGTAGGATGCTGCCTGCTTGAATTATAGACCGGTCATTGCTAAAAAACAACTACTATCTCTTTTAGGTAGACAGTTGGATGACTGATCAAGATGCACTGAAGAAATAACCGGCATCGCTCGCAGTGCAAACATGACTTTTTTGAGGCTAGTAGAAATACGCAGCAACTCCCCTGGGACCATGTTGTCTGTAACGCTTGATTTTCTTAAGCATATACCTAGCAACTAATTTTACTGGAGTAGATATACTATAGCGCTGTTCCCAGGAGGTTACAACCGCAGCAAAAACCATCGTCCGTCGAGGTACATTTGAAAATAGTGGAGCCAGTATCGTAGTCTCGGATAAGGCGCTAAACCTCAATAACAATAATCATAAAAGGCAAAGTAAGAATACTAACAAAGCAATCCATGAGGTGGAGGGTAGTGGGGGGAAGAGCCACGAGACTCGGCGAACGAGGAGAATCGCAGAAGCCCAACTACGATTAGC